ATATAATTAAATAAATTTTCTTAATTCAAATAATATATATCAAACAGATTTATTTTATAATAAACATAAAATAATTTTAAAAATATCTCACCAAATAATTCTTCAGGAACATTTACAACATGTAATGTGACAAAATTCCCAGGCTGAAAAATAATATTTTAAATTAAATAAGGAAATGTTTAATATTTATTTACTAAGTAAATAAAATCAAGCAAATAACTTATAATATTCACTTTATTTTAATTTCTTTAAAGTCAAATAAATAAATACTGTTAATTCATACAAATAAGTAACATAAATTAACATTCCATAATAGAGCAAGTTTTTTGTTATTAAACAACAGAACATCTGAAAAGTCTAAAACCCATGGTAAAAATATACTTCTGACCAAGTGAAATGCAACACTTGATAAACTATAGATACAATACTTATTTGACAAATAACATAGGACACAAGGGTGAAATGATTAAATTGACAGCTCCGTTCATTGGCGAAATATGAAAATAATCAGTATTTTGTGCAGAAATAACAGCTGCCACACACCAGGGCATTGAATGAGAGGTTTTGGATGACTGTTTGGGATGTCATACCATGCTACTTCCACAAATCAAAGTTCTTAATAGCAGGTGGTGTGTATTGTACTAGTTGCAAAGCAATCATTAACCAGACATGCTTGATAGGTGACAAATCAGGAGAACAGGCAAGCCACGGAAGAACAGAAACCTGATGGATATTGAAGAATTGTTTGCAATGTTGCATGCAATGTATGGTAATACATTGTTTTGTTGAAAAAGGGCCGCTGGCAAGTCCTGAAGATACGGGAGGTCAACAGAGTCCAAAATGTTGGAGATGTAGTGCTGGCTATTGAGTGTACCATCAATGCATACTAGGCTGATGTGGGAGTAGAAACTAATGGTGCCCCAAACCATAACGCCAGGTAACATACCAGTATGGTGATACAAAATGCAAGGATCAAAAGTCTCTTGCCACAGTGCCACCAGACGTGGAGTCAACCATCGTGGTGCTGTAGACAGAATCATGATTCATCAGAGAAGACCTACCATTCTTGATTCCAAGTGTGGCAGTCTATGCACCACTGCAGCCACATGAGGATTTGTTCGTCATAAATTGAAAAATTGTTCGATCCTGATGAAGGTCAATTAATTGACTTAAAACATTAGATTATGTTAATAAAATAGACTGCATCTGTAAATTTTTGTCGGATGGCGATTATTTTTAAATAAAATTGAAGATAGTCTGCCCAAAAGGGACCACCATTTATTATTTCTGTGTTCCGGACAATACTCATTCTTGGCAACAGACCTTTTCTTGTAGGCTACTTGTTGCCAGAAGTTTAAAAAGTCCTTTTAAAAAACACAAAAAAATATATCCAATTAAAATTACAAATAATTTCTAAAAAAGGAACTGGTGACATTAAGACGTCTTTCTTGCATCCATCATACCTTCGTTTGGGGTGATACTACTTATATCTACTAAAACAAGCACTGGAATATGTAGATTTGATGAAAGCTGACCCATGGTGACGATACATGTAGATTTTCATCTGTAAATTTTCGTCGGATGGAGATTATTTTTAAATAAAATAAAATAATCTGGCAACAAGTAGCCTACAAGGAAAGGTCTGTTGCCAAGAATGAGTATTGTCTGGAACACAGAAATAATAAATGGTGGTCCCTTTTGGGCAGACTGTCTTCAATTTTATTTAAAAATAGACTGCATGTTAAAGGTTGATAAAGTGTAGTTATTTTTGAAAGTGCAGTTTGAAAAGAGTTGATTGGTTATATTTAAAATATTATTTGCTATATACTGTTGAGCTTCCAATTTCCTGTCTATATCAGATAATTCTGTTTCTAATTTGTTGACTTTCTGTTCCAATGAACCAAGCTTGATCTTAAAATCTTTAATATACTAATAATAAATGGGTTGATATTCATGCCAAATACTGTATAGTAGGACGAAGAAATCACTGAGATTGGCATTATATGTGCGCTTTATTGCAAGTACTTTCGACAATCCTAATACCCCGTTCACACCGAGTATGTCATGTCGATCTAGATTGTGACCAAGATCAGCTACTATACTGTGGTGCAACCTCTCTTGACTGAAACGATCAATCGCAATCGACTCAAGAGAGTTCTTGAAACTAGATCCAGTCATAAGAGAGATCCCACAATCCCATGCGCGCAAGAAAATACAAGATGGCTGCAGAACACGTGTTGTGCTATCAATAGAAAAATAAAAAAGACAACTGGAGAGATGATGACATCTTTCCATTATTAGATATATGGCAAGGAAAAGTATTTATTTCTAACCAAAACTTCCAATTTGTTTGTTGGTGTTCGTGACTAATCACATAGTTATGTCAGTTTTATCATTGCGTGTAATAGCTGGGTTCTTCTCAAGCAGACTGCCTGTGCGAACAGCATGATGTTTGACTGGCGACAGTCACAATCGAGATTGTAGGTAAATTGAGATCAAAGTGAGACATGGATTGTATGCAAACGAGGTATAATGTCGTCATCAGGCAAATACAGAAATTTAATTTAATCAAACTATATCTGTAATCTATATCTTTAATCAAACTATATATATATATAAACTTTAATATCCTGATGTATCAAACCAATTTCTGTTTTTACTTCTAAAATTTGTTCAGTTATAGAACTATGTGAGACCTGAATTAGTTTTGACAGGTGTCATAAGCTGACTGCAGTCAGGCTATCATCATCAAGTTTTAAAGTTTACGATCTTTCTATCACGTTGGTGGCAGATAGAGGTCAGCAGTTGTAACGTGAAGTTGGATTAACTTCAGCTCCTGTTCGATCGAGTTTTTATTGGTTTATAGTGCACGCATAGTAATAAGTTATATATCATCGGAATCGGAACTGCGAGAAGTGTCTAACGGTGTTACGTTTGTGACCCTGGGGTCAAATTTTGGGANGGCAATGAGTCACTTGTAAATATTTTTATTATTTCAATTTAACCAACTGGTTTAAAATTATTCTACAAGGTCTCCCACCATTGTAATAATCCTTCGAGAAGAAACTTTGAAATTATACTCTTTTCCTTGCATGGCAGTTGAGACTGTAAGTACCAGTCCAACTTGCCATGCTTGCCACATTCACTTGATTTGGAGCAGAAAGGACTACCATTGATAGTCCCATTCCCGCGCTGCTCCAATTATTATTGTTTACCCTCAAGGGCTTATGTAATCAGCATTTTAATTTCTTACATAATATAAGTTATTGTAAACATTGTCGGGACTTAAACTCTGGAAAGACTCCAGCTGTATTATAATTGTATATATTGTATTATTTTGTTCAAAAAATGCCGATGCAGACGCCACGAGTCCCATGCCTTCTTTCACACTATCCTATCTTTCTTTCTTTTCACACTTCACATCTCATGCTTTCTCTTCTTTCCTACTTCCAAGGGCTAAGTACGTCGCTTAAAAGACGGACAGCTCTCTAATCTCTTTTCTCAGAAGTATCAGAAGTCAGGCTATCATCCTTCTCCATCAATTCAAAACACAAAGTTATTTTCCTTCTCTTCTTCATCTACTTTTTCACTCCTCTACATATCCTTAGAAGTTGCGTGTTGTTTACGGAACATTGTTTCCACATTGGCCGATTTAGACACCTTAATGGCATTACTACTTCTGGTCAATGGAGGTCACCCTCTCTTCAACGAAGAATGTGATAAAGAACCTGGATTTTGTTCAATTCCAGCCATAATAAGTAAAAACCATATAATTATTAATAAATATGCCTGAAATCACCACAAAATCATCATTAAATAACCCTTCTTCTTTCTCAAGATAAACTTGCCCAGAATTTATGCCAACACCATTGAATGCCTGAAGTGCCCCCAAGTATTAAATCAAAATCAAAAATAAAAATAATTTCAACATTTTTACAAAGTTTTATTGATTTTATTGTCAATCAATTTCTTCAAATGAAAATTTCTTGTTAAAAATTTAAATTATGTTCCAAATTTCTTGTAGTTATTATTATTATTATTATTGACTTAAATATTAATTTATAATTATAACAAACAAAACTGAATTTTGTTACCAAAACACCAAGTCTTTCTTCAGAGAGAATCCTTTTTCTGGTACGATTAAAATTTTCAAATTGAAATATTCTTGCATAATCTGGTGGAAGATTTTCTTTTGGATCCCATGGTGAACTACGAAAACTTTTTAATCCACGATATCTAAATATTTATTAAAATATGAAAATTAAGAAATAATAATAATTATTATTAATTCAATTAAATGACAGAGATTAAATATATAATTTTCCTCTAATTTTTAGAACCAAAAATTCAATCAAATAAGTTATAATGCTAAATTTTCAAGCCAATTTATAAATTTGTCAACTAGCCTAAGCACCTGGCATTTCTTGGAAAATTTTAATTATACACTACAATTGAATAAAATTTTGTTATGCCTAGATAATGGCATATAATATACAATGCATGTAGATAGTGTAACCTTCCATTTCCGATTTCTGGGAACAGTCCTCATTTTTGATCCTCTGTCCCTGGTTTCATCCCAGGAATGGAATCTTATCCCTCTTTTTTTATTTCCTTGTAATTATTGTAATATTGTCGCCGTCACAGTTTTTCTGCCATAAGACATGTCCAATGTCTTCAGCATTTCCAGGTAATTTTTTTTAATGAACTAAACTATTTTTTGAGGGAATGGCAAAAAGGAGTAAAATTTTTAAACAAAAATGAGCAATTATTGTGACATTGTCACAATGCCTAACTGCAATTTTTCGTCACAGTGTTTTCAATCTTCTTTGCGAGATTCCTAAACTCAAGTTGAAAGTTCAGGCCTGGGAGTGCCATTTCCCCTCTGAAAAAGTGAGAAAAGTGAGTTGAAATACAGAAAAAGTGAATAAAAAGTGAGTGCAATAGTGACAAAACAAAGTGAAAACACAGAAGGAAAACTCAGCAAAATAGCAGTAAAAGTTGTTATTTTCTTTTTATTCTGTTATGGTTAAACACATTTTAAAAATTTCTGTATATACTGTAATACAGTCGTTATATCGCGCATTTTTGGTCCCCCGAATTTTAAAAGCATTTGAGTCAATAACTTTTAAATTACCAATTGTCACTGAATTTCTATTTGCAACGAAATATGGTATTTTATTTCTACTATTGTCCTTGAAACTACCACTGAAGGCGAAACAAGAAATTTGTCAAGATCTACATATGCAGAACAAGTAAATGGATCGATTATCATTTGTTTCCTTTTGATATAAAAGTTGTTTATTTATTAATTTTAAGTACTGTCTCCTCATTTACAAGTTTCTGTGAATTCAAAATTTCACATCTTTATGCGAATTAATGATATTGTTTCAATTCACACAGAGATGTGAAAATTTGAATTCACAGCATAACCTGAAAGGAAAAGATTTCTTAATTCTGAAAGTTCTAAAATTTTTATACAGTAGTAACTTTATTTTACTTTTTAATTAAAGAATTTTTACTCTGTAATTTTATAAGTTTTGATGTTCTATTATACATTCAATATTTTTTTTAAATTTTCAATTACAGCATTTATAATTTTTATTGAAAAATATAAACTACACGAATTTCTAATAAGCGATTTATATAGTACTGTATAATAAAATCGCAATTGATTTGTTTTTATATCGACAGTATTTGTCTTTCAATGTCATTGTTAAAGAAACAATAATGCTAAATGGGCGTTCATGGTATCGATGTTTACGTAAACGTCAATTAATACGATATAACCACGAATAAAATTCAGGATTGAAAAACTAAGCTTATTTTATATCAGAAACACTTAATGATGAAAGAATAGAGATTCCATAACATGTATAATCTGTCTAGTTACTCTAGTAAAAGTCCAGAACTTTTATTACTCGGTTATATCGCGTTTTTTTTCCTGTCTCCTGATAACAAGTGGCTACTGCATTTCCAGTAAACCGTGAATACTTAAAAACTCTTTGGCTTCTGTAAATAATCAGTCACGAAAGATGATGTTATTTTATTAAGATTATTCTGGATGTTTTCAGATTCCTTCTTTTTCGCTTCCTCTTGCTTTTGAACACTTAACACTAATAAGCATCACACGTGCTGCTGCTCGTACTTCATTCACGTTCTTGCTGTTAATAGCCTTCTCCAGTTTTTTTTTGTTGCTTCTAACAAAACTTGGCCTGTCGCATGTATTTCTTTTTCTTCTACATTTTTCTGGTTTAAACTCAGCTGCAGTTCTATAATCTTCATGTTACGAACAGTTTTCTTTTGTTGTTCTTCAAAATGTTTCTGTGCTCTTTTTTTCTGTTTCTCTTATTCTTTTAACTTCTTTTCATTTTCCAATTGTTCTTGATAATTTCTATGCGCTGAGGGAGCTAATTTCAGTAGTCCTTTGTAATGGGTACAAGATGGGGCTTTGGTCATACATGTTTAGTCCCTCCTTAACAATCAAAAGTGAATTAAGTATTTTTTCCAACACTGATGGAGAAAGTGCCCAGAGTGAAATTGACCCTCTCTCTCATGGGAATGCTGATTTCACTATTTTGGCTATACTGGAATATTTATCATTATCAGAAACTGTTTATTTTTTAATGCTTTGAGATGTGTAAATATTGATTTCAAAATAAAATAATAAATCTGAAATAAATATATTTCAAATAATATAAGTAAAATATTTTATTAATGATTCCATAAGTAACGAGGAACTTTTTCCTGCAGATGAATAAAAATGACATCATTACAACGTTATTAACCTTTTTTCTCACAAGCAATCACGTGCTGTACTTTTTACAACACTTCGAATCTTTTATTTGGTAAATTTTATATGTAAACATGAATTTACATTTTCAGTCTCTTTTCGTTTACTTTTTCAGTCTCTCAATTAATGCACAATTATAATCAGCATAAGAAAAAAGATTAAAAAATGGATATTTCACAAGTAATCACACATTTTATGAAAATACTTACTACATGGAATAATTATACTTATAATCAATTTAAGCATACATTTAGGAAGATATAGATGTGATTTAACGTTAACAATATGCAATGAAATCACTATTTAGCTCAAGTTTATGAAATTATTTAAAGATAAATCAAGTAAAAAAATATTTTTGTAAACAACTCCATAACCCGATTGTTAATTAAAAGCAGCAGCAGTGTTGTCAGCTTGAGAGGGTAATCCCTCCGCCTAGTGTTTTTTTTACCTACAGAGGGATTTTCTTAGAAAACAGCCAAAAACGCAGGGATGCTTAGAATACTTATTTTTAAACTCCGTACAAGGAAATGTAATTCGGAAGAGGTAGATTTTGGTGAATAATGAAAATGTGGCATGAGTACATAACTTTACTCAACACTGGCTTCTGAATTTGTAATGACAGGGATTTTTTTTTAAGTTCATAAAGGATATTTTTACATACGTGAAATAAATTTTTGTTTCCTATAACCTAACAACACTGAGTGGCAGTTGCAATTTTGAGTCCTGCTCAGGGCTGCATATTTTCTTCCAGAAAATTCTATTCCGATAGTCCATAATTTGGCAGATAGTTTGGCTTTAAAATTATTTTTGATTTGTCCCACATCTTAATCAAGCATGTGAAAATGACCAAAAAAGTGAGAAAAGTGAGAAAATGACCTGAAAAGTGAGGATACTTCAGAAAAGTGAGTACAAAGAAAAGTGAGTGACTCCGAGGCCTGAAGTTTGATTGATTATAAAATTTTTAAGTCAGGAAACTTGGAAATTTCAGAAGTTAAATCAAATCAAGAACATGTGTCAATGCGGTAGACTCGACAGAAAGAAAAACATTTGTTCTAAAACTAAACGCAATGTGGTGATAAATGATGGAGGGAATGTCTACCGTGTGAGAGGGGGCTTTGTCAAGGTGATCGTATACAAGAGTTGAGGTGTAAACAATCAGGGAAAAAACGGAAGGACTAATGACCAAAAGGACACCTGTTAGGTCATGTGAACCCTAAACCATATGGGGGGTTAACAGATGCAAAATATCTAGGAAATCAGTCAAGACAAGTGTCCAAGAAAGACTATAATGATGTAAATTATGAGTGCAGGTGTCAAGACCCGTCAGCACCTCCCGGGCTTTACCCGACCCGAATTGGCTTCAGTCTCACTTGGAGACAGAAGAATGACTAATTGGGGTGAGGGAAAAGGGACACAAGACCAATCAAGAATGGGAAATTCGAGGGGAAATCATATAAAACCCCTGAATCAAGGAAAGAAGAGAGAGTTCTCCACCTGCCAAAAAGTGTGTTCGTTGGAATGTCAACTCGTCGCCCATATGCCAACGTCCCTCTACTGACTCTTCTCCCCCAACACCCCAGGGCACACAACTTCTGGCATCATCCTGTACCCGACCACCATCATCCAGAGCTCCTCATCCAAGACAATCTAGATTGCATCTTGTATTATTGTTATATAAGTTACTTTTAATGTTATAATAAATGGTTCTTGTAAGACACTTGTCATCTTTGCCTCTGCTGCCACTGCCCACATACAATAAGTCCCTAGGCTTTTCCTGGCACACAATTAACTTATTGCCCCTAAAAGTCAGCACTTAATTTAGTGGTCTTGCCCCTGTACATCATACTTTTCCTGTTACCAATAGTTGTGCCAGTCAGCTATCTAACTTCTTTTTAAGAAAAAATTTTGAATTGAAATAATGTGACTCTTGGTCAAAAGAGGAAGTTCATATATGGTGTCAACTTTCATCTATCTAACTCCATTTTCAAGATTAAGGAAGGACAGCAGACAGACAGTCAGATGACAGTGAAAATTTATAGGTAAGGTTGCCACCTGTCCGGGTTTGACCCGGAGACTCTGGGATTGAGTGAGTTATCTCTGGGCTCCGGGTTAATTAATATTTCTCCAGCTTGTGCAAGTTGAAATGAATATGTACAAAATTATATGCAAACTGTCACATATATTTCTTCCCTTGTGTACCAAATTACTAGTGTGGTAGTCATTGGCTTAAAGACAGTAGCATAGGGGGGGCAGTAGGGGCTGCCTGTCCCGGGCAGCACTTTTTAGGGGGCGGCAAAATTTCATAATAAATAATAATATCTTGTAAGAATTTGAACCATTTTATTTCATATTTTCGTCCACCTACGATTCGGACTGATTGATATGAGCACGGAATAGTGTTACCATCCGACTTGCCGTCTGGGGATATCGTGCATAACCTGTCAACCTTTTTTTTTGCTTGTACGATTCATTCGTAATCATATACGCCTCCAATATCCAATAGAGCTATGTCACTTGCGTTACTCCTATCCAAGTCTCCCTAGTCTCTAACTGTGACTGATTTAGAACCAGCATGCACTGCAAATTATTCTTCGCATTGCAAAATGATATATGCATGCGTCAGGAACTTCTGTTCGAACAAACATCACTTGCCGTCCGGGTCAGTGATTTTAAAAAGGTTGCAACCCTATTTATAGGTCTAACAATTTTTTCAAATTGCAGTCCAACAAAAAATATAGCTAAAATGTGCCAAAAGTAAATAGCTGTAAATCTGTATTGCCTGCATTTTTTTCAGTCACAAACTACTTTTTGCTTTGTGATTTGACTCAAATATCAGTGATACTTTGGAAAATGCAAAAATCACATTTTTATATGCAACTGAAAAATTCATTAAAAATTTGGTCAATATTGGCAGTTATTAATCATTCACTGGTACCAACTTTTTGTCCAATTTTTATCCAATTATCTGACTGGGACCTATTCACCATGATTATCCTGCTATTGCTTTGCTATAGATGGTTTTGCCAGAACTATTCCAGTAGATTAACAGATAAATTATATATTGAAAATAGCTAATTTTAAAAAATCTTTATGGTACCTTCAATAGAAAATACTAATGTAAATGGACCTTTTTCATTTATTTCTAATTAGAGTTGATCTGAATATTGATTAATATTTCAAATTTAAGGTACATTATTTCTGACAAAATTAAAATTATAAATTCCACTGCAATTTTATTTATAATGTTTGTATTTTCTAGATATTTTTGATGTCAGTAGTTAAGCTGCATAGAAAAATAAACCTAAATTACACATTTGCCATTATTTTGTGTGAGATTTGCCAAGGACGCAGAGCTCAATCTACGCCACTTACAGGCACTAGTCGGTAAGACCAGTTCTCTAGGATGCAGATCACTAGATCTGATCTCAAATATTTCATAGGAGAGCGTATTTTAAAATGATCTGAACGAGAAGTTCAGATGTTCGTCAGGATTCCTTGACACCAGTTAATCAATCTTATTATACGCGGATTAACACGCGTATGCGATCTGTTTCGGACACCAAATTAAGAGACATTTTTAGTATAATTAACAAAAGTAAATTTAATAAATCGAAACAAACGGATACAAATTTTCAACAACAATTAAGCGACAAGCTATAGACTAGGACTTATTCTATGCTAATACGCGATCGAGAGAGAGCTCACAAAATGATTCTAAACATACGACCTGTTTCTAGTCGTCTTCGTTTCTGTAGATATAGGACACCTTGTAGATAGAGTTCATATTACTTTCGTATGGGAGATCAATTCGTGCACAAAATATAAAATATCACTTCTTCTCAGTGTAGACTCGGGATTTAGTCTAAGCGACTCGTATAGGGCGTTGGCCATCAGGAGGGAAACGTATGTGGAGTTTGTATGCTTCGGATCTGTCGAAGAACTCCTCGAATTCTGACTAATCTCCCCTTTTATTTCAAAATTTTCGACCAATCATTGTCCAGTAACTCTTTCGTGAGAACGGACGAAAGGGGGATGAACGAGGGGTAACCATTTCCCATCTAAGCGAGATTTTTAACCAGATACTGAAAAACAGAGGATGTTCTCTTGGATGAAAGGAAATAACATTTGTTATCTGGTTTTTCCCACGTCTAAAACAATAATTTTTTCACAAATCGAAGTAATATTTTGTGTTGATATTTAAACATATTAAATAAAAATTCACAAATTAGACCCAGGGCCTTTCGGATCTCACATTTGTTACCCAAACCAAAAGCAAAATTTTTAATATGACCAACTCATAATTACAAATATGATTATTGTACTTAATAAAATAAGTGAATTATTGTTTTTACATGAAGATTAATTTACATTAAAAAATCCTCAACTTGAAATTAACATGAATTTTTTTGTGAAAGGATATAAATTTTTCTTATCACCTTTCTTGTTTAATTTTAATTGTAGTTTGGTATTACAAAAACACTTATATTCAAGAAAAAAATACAGTAGACCCCCCATAACACGGGTTCCTATAATTACAATTCCTATAAGATGGCGAAAAAATTGCGACAGTATCCATACAAACCTAGTAAAAAACTCCTATAATTCGGTAAAACATCATCGGGCAGCCGAACTACTTTCCGCCATCCAGCACCACGCTACGGAGAATTTAGGCGGGTAAATTGAGTNTTCCCATCTGAGCGAGATTTTTAACCAGATACGGAAAAACAGAGGATGTTCTCTTCGATGAAAGGAAATAACATTTGTTATCTGGTTTTTCCCACGTCTAAAACAATAATTTTTTCACAAATCAAAGTAATATTTTGTGTCGATATTTAAACATATTAAATAAAAATTCACAAATTAGACCCAGGGCCTTTCGGATCTCACATTACTCCCTTATCTTCAAAAATCACAGTACATTTAAAGAAGGCGTGATTTTTCACTGCAATACATAAGTTCGAATTGCTCTCTCTCTCTCTAAAAATTGCGTTATACATATTAATAAATTCATAAAAGTATAGAATACTTCAAATTAAATTCAAAATTGAAATACATGGAAATAATATAATAAACAATTCATCAGATTAATAATATTACTAAAATAAACACAATGAACACAGGTGTCTTCGTCTGGAATTGACGGTAAAAGTGAACATAGTTCGTCACTTGTTCGAATGCACCTCTCCCTTGCTGAGAGTCTCTATGGCAGCACTTCTGTTGGCTGACTTCTTATAGTTGCAATAATTCAGGTATATTAGAAGATCATGTGATGTCTTCTTGTTTCAAAAAGCACCTGCTAAAAGTTCAAAGTTCACTGTGCAGTTCAAAATGATATAATGTGTCTTCTTCTCGTATGTTGACATACTTCTTTTTCTGCTAAAATTTCATCTAACATAACCACAAAAGTTCAGGTGGTTGAGTTCACTAAAGGTTGTACGACTCCAGGGTCATTTAAATCCATTTGGGCAAAGTTCTTTTCACCAACGTATTTTCACTTTAAAGGCAGTATGTTAACAAATTACATATCTCTATTAATGTCTCTCTCTCTCTTAATACTACTCTAAGTCTTATATCTAGACTATTCTATTCAATATTATGTCTATTCTAATCAATATTGTCTATTCTAATTCAATCACTTTAGTTTATCAATTTGAGTGGGGTGTACATTCCTTTAAATAAGCTTTTTGTTATTATTAGGAAAGGTACTTACAAACTAAAGATATATGTGAACAAAAATTGACTATCAATAAATCAAATAAAAGTTCAATCCAATGAAATAATCATTCAAAGAAAAATCAAGTAGGGATTAAAATCGAGGTGTGCGAACAAAGTGCTTCCTTGTCTGTGTTGAGCTTGAAGCTTGTTCAGTTGAGCCTCCAACAGGTTCGACTATTTCCTGTTCTTCTTCTTCTGTATTATTTCTTTGAGGAATTTCTTGAAGTGGAATATCCTGTTGTGACAGTTCCTTGATCCTCTTCTCAAATCTTCGTTTCCAACAAATATGCTTGACTATATAATATGTGCAGATAAGTAGAATTAATATTCCTATACTTCCAAGGATAATCCATATGTATGTGATTGGAATTGTTGGAGGGTTTGATATAAAAAGATCTTCATTTTCTTTCAATAATCTGTCCAAATCTTTCTTCATTGATTTTATTGGTCTTCATTGGTCTTTCTTATGATTTTTCTGCTACCTTAATGTCATCATCTTTTTGTTTCTTAGAATTCTCTTTATTCTTCTCAGGATTCTCTGTAGTATTTAAATTTTCTTGCAATTCCTCTAATTCCATCTTGGAAAATATTGTTTCAATTGGAGGTATAATAAACCCAGGACTACTTCTAGTGTGAACAGTTGATCTCATGTGAAAATGTGAAGTGAGGATAATTCCAGGTAAGTATCCTATACATGTCTTTGGCAATCTTATGATTCCAACATTATTCAATTTACTTATATTAGAAGGTAATGCATGCAAGTTATTTTGTGTAGCAGAACATTTCACTGCTAATACTAATGTAGAGGGTGTAGAAAATACCCATGTTCCTTGCTTGTCTATTCTTCTAAAAATTGGATAAAATTCCTTTACAATTTCTTTGAAACAAAGTTCTGTTACCTTCTGATCATTTCTAATGTATAACGAATATTCGCAGCTCTGATGTGGAGCTCGAAATATCGGAACGTCCGGTGAACAAACAGCAAACTGTGATATTTGGCAAACAGCCAATTCGTGATGACGTAACAACATGTACGAGAGACGATCCATTGACAATGCTAAAATGGGATATTCAGTCTTAAAATATGCATAAGCTTTCAATGCAGGAACATATGTAGGGAATCCCAAAATTTCGTAAGCATCGAAATATCCACTAGGCGTTTTCAATGGCATTTTTGCGAAAATTCTTAATTTTCCTGGGAGTGCGATAGCAACTGTAATAATCCACTGGTAAAATTTAAAGAGAGTGTCAGCTTTGACTTGCTCTATCAATAAATAACCTTCCGGAAGTTGTGGTTGTATTTCTCGTAACGTACGATACATCACTTCCATTGCGATAATATATGAGCTTAATTTTCCTTGCTCTAAAACGTCAATAGCTTCTCTTAATTCAATTATTTGCGTATGAAATTCTTGCATCGCAAATTCTAGATTTCTCATGATAATTTCAAATGCTAAATCATATCGATATATTTTATTTGTTGAAAATATTTTAATTGTTGTAATATAAAGGGGAACTCCCTTATCCTCAAGTCGATGATTATCGTGAGGTATATTTTATTTAACCTTAGCTTATTATCTTATTACTGCTATCTTAAATTTAATAGGTTAATTATTCCTAAATTTACTGAGTTACTCTTGACACTCGGAAGTTGGTAAGACTTAAGGGTCAAAATGATAATACAACCTTACTATTTCGAAATATAGATACCAATTTTCTTTCTATCGATAATTATTCTAATTATATGTATACGAATCAAATCCTTATCATTTTCTCTATATGGAATTACCGGATCCTTGTCTCTATTCCGATTAGAAATTCGTCGTATCGAAAACCGATCTAAATTTAATTTTTGTATTATTCAAAAGATGAAGCATTTCTTTGAAAATATTATCCTGCGTATTTTCATTATCTATCCCTTTAACCATATTTAAATCAGAATAACAGGTATTGTCTTTACTACCGCTATTGTTTATCTTTCTCTCACGACTATTATGGGTCTTTGGTGTGGAAATTCTGGAAATTTTCTTTTCCTTCTTATTTCCCTTATATGCCCTTCGCTTATGTTTATTTGCATGTTCCTTTTCTCTAAACTGTGGTTGTCTAGCAGCTTCAATACCTTTTGATTTTATGGGAATTGATCTCTCCGTATTATTATCATATATTTTCTTCCCTTTACATATGTTGGTCTCAGCTTTTCTATTATTTTCGACACAAGTATTTTCCAAATAGCGTTTCCTCTCGGGATATGCTTGTATACTTCTTATATAGTCCTTTCTATAGTATTTCCCCCCGTGATTCGCATTATAACTGTATCTTCTAGGTTCTCGCTTATAGTATGTTACAGGTATTGCTGTACAAAAATGAATGCTTTTGCCATCAGGCATAATTAATCTATTTCCTTTATGGTCTATTTTGATATTTTCTCTCTCTAGTATATCCCTTCCTATGGTTCCGTCACATGGATATGTATCTCTCACTATTCTACACGTAGCGCTAAATTTATTTCCTCTTAGTTTAAACTCAGGGGTTGCATTTCCTATACCTACGACTGTTTCTCGGGGTGAATTATCTATCATTACCAGCAGTTTATTGTAAAAGGGCTTTATTCGCTTTATTCTATCTATAATGCGCTTAGATATTAATGAAGTGTCTGCTTCTTCATCAACTCTAAATTTAGTGGGTAAGTTATTTACATAAACCATTACTATCGGTCTATCATCTGTCCTAACATTAGACAATGTACCTTCCCACATATCTGTTTCTCTATAACTGCGCGGTTGCGAACGGAAATGCTTATCTCTATTTCGATCTCGCTTTTT